GATTTAAGTACCTTACATGTCTAAAAATTAATAAAGGCCATCATTCTGCATGACAACCAATAAAGACAAAAAGGGAAGAAAAATAAGTGACTAGCAACCCATAAACATTGCTGTAAGGTTTTTAGAAGATGAGATTTATTTTTTAGATGTTTAGTTTCCAGAGGATTCCCAATAAAAAGGTAGGATGTGGAAATCTAGACATATCACCCTTCCTATGACTTTGAGAACTTAGTTTTAAATAAAGGATGTGCACTTTATGCAGTCTGTGAGGCTTTGACTCATAGCAGAGTTTTGCACTCGATTGAGTCAAATTACAAGAGCCAAAATTGACCATTAGGATAAATTGGAAAATTGCTTTGAAATTCTCATGGCTGATGACAACTGTAAAACTAGGTCCCAATTTGTTCAAATTTGAAGTTCAAAAGCAGGGCACTATGATTCATGTCTAAAACTAAGTATAAGAGGACTTTAATCTTTGTCTCCCACAATGATCTGTGCTCTGCATTGGATATTTTCATTGAAGCTCTAAGTCACACATCATTGGAAGCTTTTCCAATGCAGCCTGGAGGTGTAAGGAACGTAAGACAGTATAGAATAGGGGTGTCAAACTCACGTTGTCACAGCAGCATCACGTGACATATTGGGACCTTTTCCCCCTTCGCTAAACTGGGCAGGGGCAGCATGTGACACATTCAGCTCGCAGGCCACGAGTTTGATACCCCTGGTGTAGAACCATAGAGTAAACATACTGCATACCACTGTGGTGCATTAGCCTCTTACATTTGCTATAGGTAGTTTTTCACAAATTCATTGGGGTATTAGGCTGAGTAAGATTATTATGGTTTGTTGCAGAGTTAAGCAGTCATTCGGATTGAACTTGGCATTTTCGTCTAGCTACTGAGTCCTTCCCAATTATTATCGTCATTATTTTTATACGGCCTTTCCATTTCATTTAACTTGGTTCAATCCTATTTTTATTCTCTTAGTAGGTACATAAATATAGCCAGATATTACTTTGTCTATACTAAATGCATAGTTTTGGTTTTTTTAGCCCAGATCTTGAATCTGCAAAGAATAACAGCCCAAGATTAGCATTACATCACCCTAGAATCTATTAGCCCAAGGGTGTCAAACTCACGTCGTCACGGCGGCATCACATGACATGTTGGGACTTTTCCCCCTTCGCTAAACTGCGTGGGTGTTGCCAGTGTGTGACGCATCTGGCCCATGGGCCGGGAGTATGACAGCCCTGTATTAGCCAAAGGCTAATATATATACATCGCCCAGTCCAAGATTTTAAGACACACACAGTTCTGTTCAATAGCCAAGGACTTGTGGATGAAGCAATAAAGTATTCTCAGGTTGAAGCATCAAATGACAGCGCTTCCAGATAGCTGGGTAAGTTTTGTAGATAAGACAGAAAATACAAGAGGCTGGTTATGTCAGCATTTAAGTCTCAAAGCAAAGGCTCAGATATTGGAAGTTTTAGGTTCTGATCATAGTTGTGAAAGAAAGGTTACTCGAGCAATAATCTATATCTGGATAGATCACTGCTCCCAAGAGGTTCTCTCAAAAAGCTCTCCCTGCATATCTTTCTGTGGCAGTGACATTGTAAGGATGTGCAGAACCAGGCCTGCCCAGGGACCCACCTGGCCACTACTCATCTTGTCCAGATGAAGCTCTTTCCCCCAAAGTCATTACATTGTGAAGAAAATATCTGTATTTTTCTCTGTATTTTGGTACTCAATTCTGTTTCCATATCATGGTTGTGCAAATAGTTTCATATTAGGGTTGAGCGGTATTTTGGAATTACAAATAGTTCTTCATACAAAGAAGAAGGAATTATCTGCCTGCAATTTTTGAAGCAACTGCATCTTTTTTCTGGGATAATGATCCCAGGAAAAGATATGGCTGCTTTAAGGAGTTGCAGACAAAGTGTTACATTCATGTATACATAATACAGTACAGTGAACCACTAGAATGTTGCTCCATCCATCCATCCATCCATCCATTGATCTATCTCTATCATACTGCCATTCATTGGGCAGTCTGATGATCTTGGGAATCTTCAGTCATCTTGTACTCTGATACAAACTGGTAATTATTGGAAAGCAAATGGAAATAGAACTAAAACGATAGGAATGGTTGGTGTAATAGCAGGTATTGTTCTCAAAGCCAGGCAGACTGTTAAAAGTATGGGGATGAGAATGAAACCACTGCTGTTCTTCAGTTTGATTCTTGCCATCTCTTCCACTTTTATTTGCTTTCTAATCATGTCCATACTGCTTCTGCTGGCAGAGTAGTTGCACAATATAAGACCAGGTCATATACAATTGAAGCTCCCAAAATTCATTTTGTAATTCTCAGTCTCTCTTATCCAGTAATGGTACATTTATTTCAGAGAAAATAATTGGGTAGGGGGTGAATGTTCCGCCTTTTTGCTTCACTATAACTCTACTCATAGCTCTCAAATCAGACTTCTGAACTATTAGTCCAACAACAGGAAGAAATGTGAAAGGTCTTTTCGGTGGTCATGTAGCTGAGATGTGGTAGAAAACATGTCATTATAATGCAGGTTGATGTAGGCTAGAAAGGAAACAAAGTTTAAGATCAATGGCAATAAAGCTCATGTGGCCATTTTGATGTGGCTAAATTATGATTTCCAACTCCCCTGCGGATGTATGGCAAATAGGCAGAAATCCTAAGAACTGTAGTTCAATACAGGTAGTTCCTACTTAATGACTGGTATTAGTGATGGTCTTAGGAAGGGATGCGGTGGCTCAGTGGCTAAGACGCTGAGCTTGTCAATCAGAAAGGTCGGCGGTTCGAATCCCGAGCACTGTGTAACGGAATTACTTGTCCCAGCTTCTGCCAACCTAGCAGTTCAAAAGCATGTAAAAATGCAAATAGAAAAATAGGGACCACTTTGGCAGGAAGGTAACAACGTTCCATGTGCCTTCGGTGTTTAGTCATGCTGGCCACATGACCACAGAGATGTCTTCGAACAGCACTGGATCTTCAGCTTTGTAAGGGAGATGAGCACCTCCCCTAGAGCCGGAAATGACCACCATGTATGTGCGAGGGAAACCTTTACCTTTAGGAAGGCTGCTTTATGACTCGTAATTTTTCTTTGCAATCATCTCTGCCAGTTTCCCCAGGGAGTCATCCTCACAGGGGAGATAGCACAGAGTTAGAGACAAGGATTATTTTACATAGTAAAAGCTCTCTGCCTCTCCATGCCTATACACAGGTTTTAGTGTGTTAAAATCCTTCTGTCAAATGCCTTATCTCCTTACTACTTCATGCTTGTGCAGGCATGGAGAATGGGGAATGCAAGGATTTTAACTTAACGATCTATCAGATTGCTCAACAATTACAACTGGGACTATAGTAATTGAATGGTCACACAATATATCACTTAATGACAACAATTCAGATTTTTGTTCCAATTGTGATCATTAAGCAAGATATACCTGTAATATCTTAGGTATCATAATTTGATTCCATTTTTGTGGCATTTTCTGCTATTCTCTTTCAAAGGATAACCGGAAAGTCCGTTGACGAATTCACTTTAAAAAAAACAAAAACAGAAAGCCTTTAAGATTCCTAATATCGTGCTGTAGCTGCAGTCAGTCAAGCAGGATGCTGTGGTTCAGGATAAAACATTGTAAAGTGCCGTGAATTTCAGTGGGAACAATTAAGCATCCATTGAATTCTCATCCTGAAATCAATAGAATTTGAAAGTATTTTCCAGTATGAGAAGCAACGGCCCAATATTAAAAACCTTCGGATGGGGTTGCTTGATCAATGAAAGTCATTTGGAAAAATGTGAAATTCTTAATATAAATACCACACTGGACATGTTTCAAATGATCATGAATGAAACTACATCTATATTTTTTGATAGGATTCGGTGGCTCTCTAATTTCCCCCTCCAGACAGGCAGTGTTAGGGGAATACTTCTTACTCCCATCCTTCCACTTCATTTAACATAAACATCGTGATTTAGAGCCTAAGAGCTTAGCATCAAATGAGTAAGGGACGGGGCATAGGAGACATGAACACGTTTTCAGTTCATTCTTCCTTCTTGCCCGTCATACATAGTTGGTGGTTGGTGAAAAATAGTACCAGGAAAGATTCTTTATACCCAAAAAGCATGTGAATTGAAAGATGTCTGATCAGTAGTAGTCACAGGGAAAAGGTTTTCCTAACAAAATAACAAGTGTTGTGATAAATGTCTCCTCTTTTTCTTTGTGTGTAGCAAATGCCTCACACACATGTCCCCAAAAATGCAGAGCTTGCTGTGGAATGCTGCAACGTTGTTTTTGTCAGAATAATGAAAGCAGCAAACGTCCCTTTATCTGACTTTAAAGAGCATAATCTGATTTAATATTTCATAGTTGAATTTTGGCTATATTGCATTATTTTGTGAGGAAAGTGAAAGAGAGCAGATCAGCGCTGAACGGTTTCATTATAATAATATTCTAAAATAGCATTTTAGCTACTGTAGCCTCTGAATCATTGTATTTTTAAGGAGGAAAAAACCTTGTGTAACTTCAATAACTGGAAGGAAGGAAGGAGAACTGTGGGATATTCCTATTCTTTAGGGACACAAGGAATTATTAGAACCCCATTAGAGTCAGGGTGGCGCAGTGGTTAGAATACAGTATTATGGGCTAATTCTGCTGACTGCCAGCGGTTCAATCCTGACCAGCTCAAGGTTGACTCATCCTTCTATCCTTCGATGGTCGGTAAAATTAGGACCCAGATTGTTGGGGACAACATGCTAACTCTGTAAACTACTTAGGGCTATAAAGCACTGTGAAGTGATATATAAGTCTAAGTGCTATTGTTATTAGCATGCCAGTGCATTGTTTCCAAGCACATCATTGACTTATGTATAAAAAGTTTGATTTTGAAGAAACCAAGCATTAATGTTTATATATGTATATATATATACGTGTATATATGTGTTGTGTGTGTTTGTCTCCCTCATTTAGAACGTGCATCTCTAGTCTCTTCGAAGACCCATCTGTGACTGGACCTATCTGGTTACCTCGGGCACTAAGCACAGCCAAATGAATCCATGTATTGTTGGCGAGACGCTTCAGCAACCCAACTAAATCAGGATGGTTAAAGGAGCTCTCTCTCTCTCTCTCTCACACACAGCACTAGGGGAGAAGCAGTAAGTGGCAAACATAAGGCACTATTAGCAAATTTCGTTACCGCTTACTGTGCATTTGCTGCTGCAGCTTCCTGCCAACCCCCATTTCACCCTAAGCAAGCCATATGTACCATTAATAGCCTCATTTTATACTATGGGCCAGGGAAAGAATTTATACAGAATCCAGCTCCCCCACGTGACCTTCTTTTCATGTTCCCTCCTCCCTGTGAATTAACAAAGCACCAGCCCTTTGGGTCCCTTCAAACGCTTCCCCCCCCCCCCCCCCGTCCCCTCAATCATAACTGCTGCCATTGACTTTGGCTGCTGGATGACAATGATGATCCTGAGAACTATGTATTTGCTTGCTGCTCTTCTGCTTGTTGTTGTTACCAATGTCAATAAAACCGAAACTTCAGCGGGGCAACTCTGCAAATATCTCACCCAACTTCTTCACAAGAAGGAAGGCTACCTCAACACTAATAAAGTTTTGACATGAGCAATTTTCCTTGGCGAGTGTGAGTGTTCTTGCTTGCATTGTATGCTGAGCGATGGGAATTTCTGTGGAGGATTTTCAAAAGTTTGGACTCCAGAGCCCGGGAAGGGCAAAATCACCCACCACCACCACCACCAAGAGGTCGACTAGGCCACGCCCACCATGGCCATACCCACCCAGCAACCAGACAGAGAACTGGTTGCTGAAATTTTTGAAACCCACCCCCTGCAGCCTACCATAATAGGCATGTTTGTCTTGAAAGGCACAGAGTTAAAAATTTTGCATACACCTCTTGGTCTATTTACCTTAAGAAGGCTAGCAACAAATACTGTTAGGTTTATCTGAAATAAGGCAGCTAGGAGATCTGGCAGTGCAACACAATTTTATGTGAAAAGTAGGAAGAGCAAAAATCTCCTAATGTGTCCATACTAGCCAGAAGATCCCAGTCATTTGGCGGTATCCAATCGGAGGGGAGCAGCTCTCCCTCCCTAGTCAATCCATTTCTATGGGCCATGGAGTTCTCGGGAAGAAACTTGGGAGAAGAGTTGCTTCCCTCTCCCATTCCACCAAACAATTCTGCAATGTTGCTTCTGCAACAATGGATTTAGTTCATTGTATGTCACAATGGGAAGCTCCCATTGTATCTTATTAGAATTTTATTTTTATATTAGTTATCAAGTCACATACATCATAAAGAGCAGGCAAACAACATTTCTGTCTGATTAAAACACATGGCCATAGGCAGATGGTGCATGACCACTTAATTGAAAATTGCCTTCTGTTTTTTAAATTTGCATAATGCTAGTGGATAAATAATTACAGCAGCTGGCTCACTTTGTGTTATAGGCTGTTGCTTTTTGAAAAATCAGCTCCATTTTCTTTCTTTAATAGTTTTAATTCAATGATGTGTTCATTTCATGATTATTTTGTCTGTGCGTTGAAAAGCCAAGATTACGTGCTATCAAAGTTTGCTTACAGTACTTAGTTAAACCAATGTTTTTCAATGTGGGCAACTTTAAGGTGCAGGGACTTCAACTCCCATAATTCCTTGGCCAGCATGGTGGATAAGGAATTCTGGGAGCTGAAGTCCGTACCTTAAGATGAATAGTTCCAAAAGTTCACATGTTCAGTTGTAATTCCAAAATAGATATTGCAATAAATAAAGCTACCATAGGCCATAGGACATAATAGCCTTTCATAAAAGCATTTGATAAGGGTCATCACACACTTCATAGTCATTTTAGATTTATCAATTTGAAAACTAGTAGCTGTATTTGTGGGTGATTCCAATCAAAAGTTTTGGATCTATGGTGATGAAACTCATAATTAGTTCCTACAATTTAGGAACATTAAGAGCCTTGATGGATCAGTGGTTAGAGTCCTGTACTACAGACCACTTCTGCTGACTATCGGCTAGCTTCAATTTGGCAGATTGAATCCCATCAGGCTCAAGGTTGACTCAGCCTTCCATCCTTCTGAGGTGGGTAAAATGAGGACCCAGATTGTTGAGGGCAATAGGCTGACTCTGTAAACCACTTGGGGCTGTAAAGCTCTAAGTGGTTTATAGAGTCAGCCTATTGCCCTCAACAATGTAAGTCTTAAGTGCTATTGCGGTATATAAGTCTAAGTGCTATTGCTATTGCAATTTTGCTATTACAAAATCAGAATGTGTACGTCAGCAAATAATCACTGAATCCTATGGTCAGGGAAACCTGCTTCAGTGGTGGTATTCTACCGGTTCGGCCAAAATGGTAGCTCCAAATATCATCTGTGAGTGAACTGGTTCACTCTGACGATCAGCTGCTGGGCCCTCCCACGTGCCCCGGCTTCATACTGACCTTTCCTGCTTTTCAACCTCAGCTGCTTCACGCAGCACAGCTGATTGCGGCGGATCAGCTGTTTTACACACAGGGCTTGCAGCAGAAGGTGAGTTGCAAATGTGCCTATGCAAAGCCCGCACTCACACCAAACCGGTAGCAAAACTTTTTGAAACCCACCACTGACCTGCTTGTACTGTGCATGACATGTGAAGCTCAGAAATTCAGCTAATGCACATAACCACCATTTTCTCCCACAAACTGCATTTAATCAAGGTTGGAGAAATGTACCATTTGAAATAGTTTCAGTTTGGGATTTGTGCAGACGAGCCTGCAATTTCCACTGTGCGTAAATCCATAATGTGATTGAGGTTTGGACAATAGGGTAAGCCTCGAACTGTTATTAAAACAGTGGGAAACGGAATAAAACTGTGATGTATTCCCTACAGCATGGGTGCCAAACGCAAATCAAGTCATGTGATATATTGCAATTTTATTTTGCCTTTGCGGAGCCAGGGTAGGCGTGGCCTGGATGTGACGCAGCCGTCCCGCGGGCTACCAATTTGACACCACTGCCTTACAGGGTTCTTTATTTTGTAAATAAAATGCAAATAAACCCAAATGATATATAATATATAGTCACTCACGTGGATGACACTTCCAATTACCCTTATAGCTATTGCTAGGCAGAGAATTCCAAAGGTTGGGGGTGGAGGCCTAACTAATGATTTTCAGAGTCCTTCCTTGCACTTACCTTGTGCATGAAGAGTTAAACTTTATTTTTGCAAATCTACCGATATAAATTCCCATGAGATAAAAAAGCTAGTCATGAATACGAAGTATATTTTTCTTGTTTCTGCAAACTCAACATGATGTTATGTGCTTATCACTTGTACTCTTGCTTTCTGCTTTCCTCTCTCAAAAGAAATGCTTTCCATTCCTCATGGGAGAGATTTATCATCTTCTGTCTCCATTTGTATGTACATTGGTAGTAATATTTCAAAACACCTCAGAATTCAGGAGCCTTTAAGCTTTTAAGTTCCTTCAAGGAAAACAAAATATTTTTCTGTCTGCAAAATAAAGAGGTAGAAGCGTTAGAGAAAACTGGGTCTAGGCGGGTATGGGACCTGGAATATTTCAAATAAAACCTGGAACTTGTCTTTGAACTAATGCCATGCACATACATGTAGTCCTCGACATACGACCATATTGTTTAGTGACCATTCAAAGTTAATAATGGCACTAAAAAAGTGACATACAACAAACACTTGGACCGATGACTGTCACAGCATCCACACAGTCAAGCGATCAGAATTGGGATGTTTGGCAACCGGCATTTATTTACAACAATTGCAGTGATCCAGGGTCAAGTGATCACCATTTGTGATCTTCCCAGCTGACTTCTGACCAGCACAGCCAAAGGGGGAATCTGGATTCGTTTAACAACAATTTGATTCACTTAGCAACTACAGTGGTTCATTTAACGACCATGATGAAAGAGGTTATAAAATTGAGCGCGACTCGACAGCTACCTGGCATAGCAACTGAAATTCTGATCCCCGTTGTGGTTGCAAGTCAAGGACTTATCCTGAAGGAAAAGCACTATAAAAACCAATTTTAGTAAATGAAAGAGCAAAGACAGAAGGAGAAAACACTTAACGTTTCCTATCAAGGCCAAGAAATTTTCACAGGATTCAGTAGTTAAATCACAGTGATAATGTAGATCAATTTCATCCATATACATTGGACTATAACTCCAATTCTCCCACCCACAAATATTCATGGTCATAATGACTAAGATGAAAGTTCTATATTTATTTTTAATAAATAAATTTATTTTTATTTATTCAATTTCTATAGCTACCCATCTCAGTCAATGACTCTGATTAGCTTACAATTCAATTAAAAATATATATATCATGGTTAAAACACTTAAGAACATTTAAAAACAATTAAAAAAAACAATATACTCATTTTAGAACAACTGAGCTGAAACCATTTAGCTGCTTTTGTGCTTCGAAAAAGCTGGCCACTTTTAGTGATTTGCAGCCCTTGCCCAAAGACATCCACGCTTGCACTGATGTTTTATTTATTGGCTGGCATCTTTTACTTTCAAACTCAAAGGTTTTATTCTCATTAATTCGTATTTCCACCCTCTCTTTGCTGACAGAGGAGACGCATGTGAGTTTTATTCAGGACACAGTAATGTTCCATCTGAAGTTATTGTGTCATAGCCTTGAAGTTTCATAAAGAAAAGGGGTGTGGCTTGTCATAGCTGGTCAGCTTACAATAAATGGTAGCGCAAGCAAAGGGTATAGAGGAAGTGAACCATAAAGGACAGAAATGGGGAAAGAATGCAAATGTTTGATGAGTTGCTTTGTTTTTAATCATTACTTCATTTGCAGTATTCAAATTTTTTTAAAAAAATATTTTCAGTGTGAATGAAGGGGTGAGGGTGGGGAGGATGCAAATTGGCCCTGTTTCATGTGGACTTCGAGAAATCAATAAGTTTTAAATTAGTAATGACTGACTGAAATTCCATTGATTTCAGCGAAACTCCTAAATTACTTGCATGAAAATTGAAGCCAATCCATTATGAGATAATATTGTAAATTTAAGGGATAAAATGGGTTCTTAAACTTTACTGAAATACAGTACACAGATAAATCCCTCCATGGCACAGATAAACCCCCAAGTGGCCTCAGCAGCTCTCAGAGACAGTGCTAATAACCAGATGACTGCAAAGAAATATAATCCTTCCACTCCTCCCAACACCTTGTCAGAAATAATTCTTCCCCCACTACCTCCAGCCAGCCAGAACTAATGAAGCTTCTTGGATGAGAAGTGAAACATCTTCTTCCTCAATGGAAAAAACACAATCCAATTGCCTTTTGGAAAAAGCCACCTCTGAGACAACCATGAACTGGATAACTGAGAATCTTCGTAGACTTATAATACTTGAACACTTTTTTTACAAAAAAAAAAAAGAAGGAAAGAAGGGACGGAAAAGGGAGAAAGAGGTGAGGGATCAAAAGAAATTGTGACATTTTGAATTATGATTGTTTTAGTGCATCAGCTTGGGAGTACATGGGAAATTTGATGCTGGGTTAGGGTTAGGGTACAGCAGTTTCAATGGAATATATGTATC